CTGTGGACATCAACCAGAAGTCCTCACTCACTCAGCTTTGGAATTCAGTTTCCAGTTTAACAAGAGTCTGAAAAGCAAGACTCTCATTTGAAAGAAGCTGACTTTGATGAAAGGAAGAATGAACGTCTGGGCTCTGGTGGGCCAGAGCTTAGATAGCTGCTCATCAGGTAACCACAGAGCAGGGAAGGTGCAAAAAAATAGAGAGGCAGGTTGAAACAGCAGGACATGGTTATTCAGAGGGGATGAAACTACCGCGTAGAAGCTGCCTGATCCCTAGGAAGGGGCCCTGTACCATGACACCCTGGGCCTTGGCCAGGGAGGGAGAGGAGTTACATAAGGCAAGAGAACCCAGTAACTTTAAAGTAGAATCTGAGGAAAGCAAAGATGTGCTCCCATGTTTTGGGATGTAGCCTCTCAGAGTTGTTTAGTGACCACATGACGGAGGTCAATGACCAGATATATGGGCCTGAGGGCAGCCTCATAGTCCATTTGAAAGTGGCAAAGCCGGGGAGACCAGAAGAGGCCTGGGTTCTGAATGCAGAAGGTCTGGCAAGTCAGCCCTAGGGAAGAGAGCCGCAGTGCGGGGCAGGGGGTGTGGACACCCATAGCAGGTGTCAGCCCGACGACACCCAAGACTGGGGGCCAGAGGGAGGAAACACATAAGCCCTTCATTCCCGCCTCCATGGTGCATGCGTACACTCCTCACTGTACCTAGAGGAGCAAGAGGAGGAGTGGGGTGATTGCTTAAGGAGCAAAGAGCGCCCATAAGGATTTTTAACACTGAAGTGATTCTGTATTTACCCAAAGAAGATGGACCTAATGGGACACAATAGAGAGATCTCCCACCATGTGAGTCATAACGGTGTTACTGAATTCTCAAGAACGAGTGGAGTACCTTGTAGAAAGTAAAGTTACCCTTCTTCCCCTCTGAATGGTGCTCATAATTGTCAATCCTACTCCACTGCGTGGAAGGCCAGCCAGGACCCAGAGACCAGAGCCCAGCATCGTGGCCATGGCCTCACTGTCTCATGTCCAGAGAGCGAGCCATTCAGATAATCTTCCAGAAAATCGAGCTCCTTTATAATGAGCAGGGCTTCGGCCACCAAGCCCCACGTAGCCTGTTTCTTCCCCTGGGGACCTGGTCCAGACTGCACGATGCAGCGGAACTTGGTTCCTCTCGTCTCAGCGGACCCCCAAAGAGCCAGGTGTGTCTTCCACAACAAAGCTGTTGGAAGGATACATTCCTGGAAGAAGAAGTCTTCCAAAAAGAAAGGGACCAAAGAGGACCAGAAGAGTTACTAAAAATAGTTGAAGTGTATTTAAATCTCTTTACCCTCCCACCAGAAGATCTACCTTTAATACCATGTATCTTTGGGGCCCATTTTATCCCTTATCCGTTCTGGATCACCCAGGATTAGAAGAACAGGAAAAGGTAGAGGGTGGAGATTGGAAGGACACACTGACCTCCACAGGTGCTAGCTGAGGTGGTCCTAACTTTTGATTTTCTGCTAAACCCAGGGAGCCATCTGTCCAAGGAAGGGCAGCAGCACATCAGAGAAGTCAGTCCTGCCTCTGCCTTTGAGAGAAACCTCCATCCAATTATTGGCATGCTCCCCTATGTAAATGTGGGACCTTTTATAAAACCGATAAATATCCCTTCAAAAAGTCCACTGGAATAGATGAGGGCTTACTTCAATTAATTTAACCACCAGGCCCAAATATGTCAGTGGAATAGAAAAGAAATTATTTGCTTTCTCAAATGATGCTCACTGACAGGGATAGGAGCACAAACCAGGTAGAGATCTTGCCAAACACAGCAAACTTCACGCACAAACACACATGTGCACATACAGCACACCAAACCCCACTCCCATGATGGAGTCAACCTTTGTCCTCATGGAAAAACTAAAGTTCCAATGAAAGACCTCTCTCTCTCTCTTATTGGTACAAAGATAGAAATTTGTTTTTCCTATAACTTTTTTTTATCTTAATCAGATTTGGCCCTGAGAGCCTTCCCTGGGTCTCTCTGGGCCTCTTCCCAAGCAGCTGCAGCCCGGGGAATCCTCCATCGGTGGTGGCATCACCCCATGGTACACGGATCCAGTCCTGCATGTCCCGGATCTCGCCCTTCCAAAGTTCCGGAGAGAATGAGCAGCATCCGTGTCATCACGGTACTGAACCCGAACCCCCAAAGTGTAGAAGACACAACGACACCCCAGACCCCAGGGCAACCACTGCCACAACCTTCCCTCTGGGCCTCGGCGTGCTGGGTCCGGGGCTGCGGAGTTACACGCCTAACCCGCTGAGGTAGTGAGGCGTGGCGGGGACTGACAAACCGGAGAACACCCACTTCGTCAAGAGGGAAGTTCCAATGTTTAAAATACTCTGCTGGCTAAACTTACCAGAATACGGCGCCTATGCTACCAGGGAGCACGGGAGCGGACGGAGGTGCTTCCCAAGGAAAAGCCTAGACCCCCCACCCCCCACCCCCCGCCCCACTGCGGTGGCCAGATTTTCCCTAAAGCACATAGCCACGCCCTGGGGGAAGTACGAGCAGGAAGACAGGCGCTTCTGGGCTTTCCCTGGGTGCCTATAAATTCATCCTAACTAGTCAGACTATCTCATTTTAGAGCTTAAAATGCCATTAGAAGAGATGTCCTCAGTGATTAATTTCACAGAGAGATGACCACAACCTTCAGAGGAGGCGGGAGACTGAATCCGCCACCCACACAGGCTTCCTTCTCTCGGAAACATTCTCTAAGGAAGGCTCTGTGACAGGCCAAGATTCAGAAGTGTGCGGTGCCGACAAATTCAGGCCTCAGAGCAGACCCTGTGTTCATTCGCAGCTCTTTTCAGAGCCTTTCTGACCCACCACAGTTGGCACCTCCCTCCAACGCTGAGGGTGGTCTTCCTCCAGAGACAGCCTCCGCAAGAGCACAGGCAACTCTGAACAAAATTCAGAGCCTTGGGACATGTGAAATGTCCGAGTCACAGCCACAGGCGACAAACAGAACGAGTAAACAATGGTAGGTTACTGAACACCTTGCCACCCAGCAATGCCCAACCCCAAAACAGCACACTCTTTCACCCGGAAGTCCAGTCCCAAAGGAGCCTCGCCTGGACCTTGCCATCAGACCCTATCCCCACCAAGGTCAGAGGCTGTGGCTTCATGTGGCCCACGGCCCTCTCCATCCACACACATAGTCGTACTTGCTGATTCAGTCCCCAAGTGAACCTTGCCCGAGAAGTTAATCTCCACCTCTGCCATCAGCAGATTCTTCTGTGCTTCATTTGGGATTTTGCTTCCCAGGAACTGCTGACCTTGCACAGCCCATTCTGACCCCATCCCCAAATCTCCAAACACGACCATCTCTGCCAGCACCAGGATTCCACTCTTCAGACCCTCTCTGAGGGCGGGAAGGGGTAAATGGACACCAGGTGGGCAACTCACTTTCAAGGGCGCCAGGGGGAAAGTTCCTTGTAATATGCCTCCAAGCTTTTTATGATGGGTTACTACCCCAGAATAAATGCCTTTATTTTTAAAATGATTTGAACACCAAAGTGTGAGAAACTCTTGAAAAAAACTGATGAAATCCTAGCACACTTCTGCAGAAAATGATACTTTTTGCAAAATCCAGGCCTTAAAAGGCACACTTGACAGAATTTATATGCATATATTAAATATCTCAAATGGATTAACTTTTTGTTCACTCTAAGAATTAGCACACTCTTCCAATTAACAACTTAAACTTGGTTAGCCAAAAGACTAAAAGTGAAGTGCCTTGTTCCCTTTTTAAAGTAAATATCCAATCAGAGAACTTTTTTTCCTAATGGAAAATGTTAATCTCCACTTTAAATCAATGTACTAATAACGGCCTATTCCTTATTCTTGGAAAATGTGGATCTCCTATCCTTGCTGCTAGCGTTGCCAGTGTCGTCTGGCTGTGCCGCCAGGCTCAACAGGACCGGCGGAAACGAGCAGCCAGGGAGCTCACCGGGCGGGTGGCATGGCGCCCACCCAGCAAAGATCCGCAGGATTAAATGCAGATAAGGCTCTTGCTTTAATACCTGGTACATATTAAAACTTACATTTGTGGAAGCATCATTATTATCAACTTAAATAGCCAGGTTCAAGTTTCAGCTGAGGTCCTGTCTGCACTCTTTTCTTTTGCTCTCAGTCATTTCCTGTCAGCTCACATAAAAGCAATAGGAATTCTGCCTCCTAAGGGTTGACTGGCAAGGGGAGGTTTGTATTTCAAATGGGAGAGAATTTGAACATCTAGACAGAGCAGGTGTACAAATGGAATCCTTAGAAAAGAGTAATCAAATCAGAAATGGGAACCAAGGTCAGCCAGTCGGCAGGAAGCCTGTAAGACCTCAAACCAGAGTGGAGTGTTGGTGAGAGCCATGTGAGAAAACCCAGAGCAGTTGCTATAAACAGAGCTAAAGTGCCTGCAGCTCACTGTTGATTGCTCACCAATCAATGCTGATCACCTGTGGTGAGTCAGGCAGGCTTAATAATGTATGTCCAATTGAACACCGACATGCCAGGTACTGTGCTAGACACTTCACTGATGTGATACCATTCGAAGCTCACAGTTATCTTATGTACAAGGTAGGTACAATGATCATTCCCATTCTATAGATGAGGAAACTGAGGACTGGAGAGATTCGGATTAAGTAGTTCACCCAAGGTCACACAGCTAGCAAGTGGTGGGCCCAGGGTTTGAACCTCAGCCTCTGTCTCCAAAGCCTACACTCAACTGCTATGCAAAACTGCCTCCCACCACCAACCACCATTTGTTCCTGCTGTCCCTCACGTCAGAATAGTCGACCTGCTTGTTACCGTACATTTAGTTCCACATTCTTGACAAGCCTTTCTTATTTCAATAGCAATCGTGTGGTAGGTCGGAGCCAGGGGTCTTGTTTGCAAAACACTAAAACATAGCAAGAAGCAAAAGCCCACTTTCCAGACTTGGAGAAGCAGGCTGCTACTTCGAGTGGCTTTGTCAGCTTGGCAGAGTAATGAGAGCTGTTACAATAAACTCCTTTGTTATTACTTACAAAATGCTGTTTTCTAATGAGGCCAATTATTTTAAAAGTGTGTGTGTGCCCACACACAAGTGTGTGTGTGAATGTGTGCATGTGCATGTTTGTACAATTATCACCAAGCGGCTTTATGTGTGGTAATCCAGTTGGTACTTATTTCTTTTTCTACAGACCTCAGAATCCAAAAAACCTTTTGATGCATTAACTAGGGTCATAAAAATAAGCTTAATCTATGTTACATGATTCTGGAAAAGTTGCCTACCCCTTCAGCTGTTACCAGTTAATCTGGAGACATAATAATAGATCTTCGGAACTAGCAAACTCCCCTCCCACCTAGGTGCTGCCACAAAATGATGTCGTTTCAATCACGGCTCAGCATGGAAAATAAGCACACACCTCAAGGGAAGCACTTTGAGGTTTTTCTTGACATCTATATTGCAACTTGAAAAGAAACACTTTACCAGACTCCTGGTTGGGGAGGTAACTCCAGTTGCAGACATCAAGCACTGGCAACAAGCATATGCTGACTCACCGCTGCCACCGTCTGCCCAGGGCCCTGTCTCCTCGCTCTTCGAGCCCACAGCGCAGCTTGCGTGTTGGGTGTTGTTTCTCAACAGCTCGTTTGCCAAGGATCTATGTGGTTCAGGAGCATTGTTCATATAACTCTGATGCTCTGAGTCTTGTTTCTAGAAACCATAGTTAGTTGTCAAACAGTGTGGCTGTCAATTTTGAAAATTTAAATCCATATATTTCAAAGTTTTAATGGATAAAGTTTCATTTATGTGATATGGGCAATGCTTAAGTTATTATGGAGAGAAAATTATTACTCAATAGATTGTTCTTTGTATTTTGTTCTTCTATAACCTTAAAATGTTGTGTAATAGGCAACTGCATTCAAAATATTATAGCATGGAATAGATACTGTGTTTTAATGAATCCAGCCAAAACAAAGCACTTGTTTCACAATAAACATGCAAGAAAAAAACTAAGGCAGCCAGTGCCTGCACATTCGCAAACTCTACAACCACACTAGGGCCCAGCCCTCCACTTTGGCCAATAGGACAACCCATTCCCACCACTGCACAATGTGTCCTCCCAGTAAGTCACCTGAGTAGGACTAGCAGACAAGGAAAAAAAACAACTAAAGAGTATAGTTGTACCCTTGGCTATGTGTGCTCTAAGTGTCTAGAATTAGTGTTTCTCAACTAGTATCTGTCCTTCTCTTCTGTCCCTAAACATGGTCCCTTTGCTACATGGAAAAGACCTTCACTGGTTCTAACAGCTTTTCTTTCTTTCTTTTTCCTTTCCTTTCCTTTCTTTCCTTTCTTTCCTTCCTCCCTCCCTCCCTCCCTTTCCCTTCCCTTCTTTTTCTTTCTCTCTCTTTTCCTTCCTTCTTTCTCTTTCTTTCTTCCTTTCTCTTTTTTTCATCTTTCCAATCTCAGACTTCCAGGTCAAATGGTCTTGAAGTTTGCACTTCCTTCTGCTTAGACTCCAGACTTTTAGCAATAATATACCCCCAGCCCCCTGGGAGCTGGCTTCCAGGCTACTCCTGTTCCACAGCTCAAATGCCGGGCCTGGCCGCCTTTCCAGGCCTCTCAGGAGCTTCCACTACTCTCCACCTCAGATTTGCAAGATTCCCCCATTCCTGGCTTTAGGACCCATCTTGCTCTCCCCACTACCGTCCTGTCACCTTCTCTCTGATGGTTGCTCCTTTCTCTTGTCTGTGATGTCACTTAGGATTCATTTCTGAGGCCTTTCCTCTCTCCATGTTTTACCTCTTCTGATGACTAATTCATTTTCAGGCCTTGAAGGTTTGCCTCTCCACAGGATGAGCCCCTAAAACCAATCTGCACCTTCTATTGTCTAATGGACACTTCTGCGCTGTGCACCCTGGTAACAGTGGTGACACTATGGTGCCTCACAGTTTGCAGAGAAGGTTTGTTTATGACGTTCCACTAACTGGTCAGAAAATCCCACAAGACTGGTGTCCCCAGACTATTACTATGCTCTCCAGCGAGGTTGTCCCTTAGGGAGGCCCTCGCTCAAGGGAGGCCTCTTCAGGGCAGAAATGCCTCTTCTTTCGTGTGTCCTGCCTGAGGGTTTTCCCTGCTGAAGAGAAGCCATCACCAGAGTGTGGGTTTGTGGAAGCCTCCTCTCCTAACCCAGCTGTCAAGGCCCATTAAAGACTCAGCAGTTAGAAGCTCGGGGCCCCAGACAGTGACAGGAGAGAGGTATGTAGATCAGGTCAGGAGCTTGGCTCCAAATCTCACACAGACCTGGACTCAATCCCCACTCCTGGCATTTCCTATCTGTGCTCCGTTTTCTTCCTCTGCAAAATGAGGGCCGTAAATAACTCAGAGAGCTGTTATAAACTAGCTGGAACATACACATAAGTTGCCTGGCACACACAAAGGGCTCAAGAAATGATGGATGTCCTTGTTCTAACTTCTTAAACCTTTACCTCAGAGTCTTTGGCTCCTTCCAAAACATCACTGAGAACTTGTATGTATTCAGTTGCACCTTTAAGGATATCAACTTTGCTAGGCTTCCTGCTTTGAGGAAGAAATGGCACCAGCGTCTTCAATTTGGCAAAACCACGGTTGAGGTTTTTTATCTGGAAAACAAAAAGGCACAGTGAGACACACAGAAGCTAATTTGTTCAGACATCCCCCCAAACCACAGGAGGGGGTTCTGAAGACTCCTTTCCACAGCCCTCCTGTCTGAGTGGGAATCTTCGAAGGCGCATGCCAAAGAGGAGCCGTTCCACCGGTCCCTGGCCAGGAAGGGGAGGGGGAGTGACATCAACTCGGCACTGTGGGCAGGCAGGCTGGAAGGGGTGTCCATGTTCGCTTGATCTCCTCCTCGTCCTCTAAGAACACACCTGCTGCACTGTCATGTGGGGGCGCTGGGGAAGTGGCTAAAGGCTCTGAGTCAACACTGGAAGATTTAAAGCCCAGCCCTACCATTCAGCTTTATTAGAGTAAGTAGCATACTTCATACCACCACACCTTGGTTTGCTTATATGCAAAGTGAAAAATACCCATCTTGTGGCTCTTGCACTTTATGCCCAGCAGAGTAGATTATTTAGAGTGTTAGAGTTCAGAGAGTCGGCACAATAGTGAGGCTCAAAAGGTAGAACGAAATGCTTTTTAAAGCCTCCAGGGTCTAATTCCTCAGCTCTAAAGCCTGAAACTCTGATGATCACCCCCTACGGGACACATTCCCTGAAAGAACTGTCTCCCACTATACCATAAAGCCGATATACTCACTCACATAGTGAGCCCTCTCCACCCCACATCAAGGTGAACAATGGACCAAGAAACATAAAAATACTGCACTTTAATAACAAAAAAAACTACAAATTTCCAACTTGAGAACGAAAGGGTCAGGGGTTCAATTCCCAGTCAGGGCACATGCCTGGGCTTTGGAACAGACCCCCAGTGGGGGGTGCTCAAGAGGCAACCACACATTGATGTTTGATGTTTCTCTCCCTCTCCTCCTGAGAGGGAAAGGGAAGGAGAAGGAGAGGGAGAAAAACATCAGTGTGTGGTTGCCTCTTGAGCACCCCCCACTGGGAGTCTGTTCCAAAGCCCAGGCATGTGCCCTGACTGGGAATTGAACCCCTGACCCTTTGGTTCTCAAGCTGCACTCAATCCACTGAGCTATACCAGCCAGGAATAAAAATCTTTAAAAAAAAACTACAAATCATAACAGAAATTAGATACCATTTTCATATACCAAGCTGGTAACGCTTTTGTTTTATTTGTTAATCACACCCAGTACTGAAAATGAAAAAGGGAACAGTCCTGTGTCTTATAAAAGGGGATTAAAATTGGTAACTTTCCTAGAAAGCAATTGGGTGACTTGTATCAAAAGTTGAGATTGTATATATCCCAATAATTCCAGACCTAGAACTTTATTCCAAAGCCATGAGTAGGCATGCACGTAGATTTACATACCAGTAAGAAGCTGCAAAAATGGCACGCATGCTCCACATAGGAAACTGGAGAAGTTATGGCCCATTTCTACGTCAGTCTGTGCGGTCAAAAACTGCTCTTTGAAAAAATACTTAGGAGTATGAGGAACTGTTTTTGCTAATGTTAAGTGAAAAGGATACAAAGATATATACAAGATGATTACAATTTTTGTAAAATTATATATACACACAACTAGATAAAAAGACTGGGAGCCTACACAGAAGAAAGTTCATAGTCATTGTGTTGTGGGTGTTTCTGTTCCCTAGTTAGTCGTCTCTATATTTTTCAGGTGTATTAATTGTATCATTACAAAGAATAAAGGTCATTAGTTTTAAAGTAGGATGAATTCTCTGCAGAAAGCGATTCCTTCCCAGGTAAAAGGCCCACATAAAATGTAAAATATCGGGTCAGAATCTAGTTTAAGGACTGCATCACCACATCAGATCACAGAGTTATTTCCACAAAGAGTCTAGTGCCTAGTAAACCCATGCTTCTCCACGCCTGCAACTGTTCCAACTTTCCATTAAGTCTTTCTACTCTTCCTTGGTCCTTTCTCTGCACACCCCTTCCCAGGCAAAGGTCCTCCTTCCATCACTGGGGCTACATTTCTAAGGGGCGAGGATGTGCAGAAACAGGGCCCTGCACAACTTTCTCCCCGAGTCCCAGCCTAAATGTGCCCCTGCCTCTTTCACTACTCACTCTTCTGTCCCTGACCCTCCTCTACTGCCAGCCAACCCAAAGATTGAGAAGGTACCAAAGGGGACCAGATCCGAAAAGTTTGGGGCCAGAGATTAGTTAGAGATACTGAAAGCTACCAGTAGATGCCGCTCCTGCTACGGCCCACAGGACCGACTGGTTGGTGATTCAGAACGAATCCCGTCTGACGGGGAACTGGGTGCTTACTCCCTCCGGGAAGCGGGTCTACTGGGAGTCTAGGTGTACACGTGTACACTGGGGACTAGTGTTTATTTGTGTGTTTGTTTGTGGTGTGTGGGGGGGGTGTGTGTGTAAAGTAAAGGGTAACTTCCCTTAGGCTCTGCTCGCCCCATTTGCGCTCGGAGGCAGAGGTGCGGAGCACAGGGAAACCGAGTGCAGAGAGCCCTGCGCACCCAAGCCCCCACCCGGCGCCCACGGCTGTGAGATTCCAGCGCAACTCCGGTGTTCTAAGTTTCATAAAGACACCTGCCCAGAGGAGGCATTTTTTAAGTTGTCAGGGGCCTCCTCGGCTCTCCCCAGGCGGGTTCCTGCCCCAGTCCAGGTGGTTTAGCACGCGGGGTGCCCATCGCAGGGGCAGCGAACGGGCAGCTGGGCCAGGGTGGAACGGAACGAGGCCACTGTCATTCTCTCAGGCGAGGACACGAGCCGGCCCTCAGCAGGCCAAAGCCGCCTGCGGCCCCGCGGGTGGGCGGTGAGTGGGTGCACCGGGACCTGGCCGGGAGTTCGGAAGTGAGTGGCAGGTGTGGGGCAGAGGGAGGAAAGTCATTCTCGTCCCGGTGCGGGGTCCTGAGGCGGCCGAGCCCGGGCGGCCCCGGGGACCCGCGCGGGGCAGGGCGCTCACCCGCTCGCGCTCCTTGGCGTTGGCCACGCGCCGCCGCTCCAGCACCAACTGCAGGTCCTCGGTGGACGAGTAGCCGCCCGAGGGCAGCCGCTTGAGCCGGCAGATAGCGGCCAGCTGGGGCAGCGGCCCGAACTGCTCCCGCAGCACGTCCTCCAGCACCTCCGCGGGCGAGGCGACCACGAAGCCCGGCAAGGGGTCCATGGCGGCGCGCGGGTCCCAAGGCCGCCCGGGCCTTTCATCGGGGGCACCTGGCGCCGCACGAGGCCGCAGCCGCCGGGGGCGGGGCTTGGACCACCTGCTCCCGTTCCCCTGCCGGGCTACTGCAAACCCGCCCGCTCTCGGGACGCCGGTCCAGGAATCGTGTTTTAACGAGCTGCGCCCGGTGTTATGGTGAACGCCGGCCCGGCCGGTACTGGTTCTCAAACTGGGGGGCCCACTGGGATCGCCTGGGGAGTTTTGTAGGTATATTTTAATCGACTTACTTGGGTACCAATCCCCAAAATTCAGTTTTAACCATAATAAGTTGGGCCCTGAGCTTCTGATAAGAGTGTACACATGTATGCAAACACACATAGGTACATACGTACATTTACCAGAAAAAAATTGATGGATACATACAAAACTTGATTAAATTCATTTTGAAATAAAAGGTGCAAGTGCAGCAGCAAAGAGGTCCTGTATCCCCCTCACCTAGATTCCCTACTTGATAATTTTTTTAACCTTTGCCTCATCCTCCTCCTTTTCTCTGTGCATATTCCCATGTGTTATTCTTTTTCTAGAGCATTTTCTCTGTCTTGCCCTGTCTTAATGACCTTGACAGCTTCAAAGAATATAAGCCTTTTATTCTGTAGATGTCCCCCAGCCTGGGTCTGTCCAGTGTTCCCTCGCACCCAGACCCAGGTTGTGTCCTCTCGGCAAGGACTCCGTAGAAAAGATTCGGGGCTTTCCTCAGTGCAGTGCATCAGGGGTTTCAATGATGATGACCTGTCCCTCCACTGGTGATGTTAACCCTGATCACCCAGTCAAGGTGGCATCTGCCAGGTTCTGTCACCATAAATTGGCTAATGTTTCCTTTTAATGATAAATATTTTGTGGGGAGATGTCCTTAGCATCCATTGCTGACTCCTGCCTGAATTAACCACCATTCTGAACATTGCTGAAGGTTAGCATCCTGCTATTGGGAAGAACTTTCCTTTCTTCCCATTAATTTATTCATTTTGTATGCATCAGTATGGGCTCATGAATTTCTATGTTACTCAGTAAAGTGTAATTCATTCAGATCATTATTTTAATCTCAAAATGTCTGTCAAGTTAGGCCTGTGGGAAGCTCTTCAGGCTGGCCTCCCCAGTCCTTTGACATGACACAATCATTCTTTGAGCGCTTTTTTTACTGGTGCCAAGAAAAGACACAACATGTCCCAGGTGCATCTCGAACTTTTCTAGTCCCAGCCTCAGAATCAGTCAATGCTGCATTTAGTGAGAAATAGGATTCAAAAACCAAAAGTGCATGCTTGATTGTTCATTCCTTTTAGTATGTCATTGCTTCTAAGACCTTTTGCAGGCAAAAAATATATACATGCATATACACAAAAGCATACACACACATACAGATATATCTATCTCTCTGTGTGTGGATGGGTAGATATATTTAAAAAGCATGAGTTTACACTAATACCTCCAACTCTAATCCAACCCCTCAGGTTTCTCCTTAGTTCCCCCCTTTCCTTATTTGTAACTCCCCTCTCCAGTAATGAGAAACCCAACTCTGGCTTTTATAGCTGCAGTGTATTTACTTATTTGCTCAATTTTCATGGATAAGCTATATCCTAGTTACAGCGGCCACCTCCTCAGCCTCATCGCCTCCTGGCTCCCACCATGGCAGAGCCTCCCAGGGGAGGGGAAGGGGAAGAGAAGAAGACACACCAAATGTTCCACTGGGACGCCCTGGTCGGTGGGGCAGGGAGTGGGGAGGTGTGATCCGTGCTTTCCAGCTTCTATCTTGCTTATATTTTTCATCATAAGCATGGGTCGCTTCTATAATTTTTTTAAATGTAATTTTAAGAAGAAAAAGTATTTTAATACATATTTTAAAATATATTTTTGTTTGCTCTAAGTTCATTTGGTGTTGTCTACTGGGAGGCAGATAGAAGACAATAGGAGCCAAATGTGTGGGAATGAAGCTGAAAATGAAGATTGTTTACCCATTTACTTAACTTTCCTTGATGATAAAAAAAAAGGACATGATTGGCATTATTCTATTTTGTTGCCAAACCTTTGAGTAGACCAGCTGGTGTGCATCAAGAACCCAGTATGAGAAGCTCAGACTTTATTCTTTCATACTTGCTCTTCTTCATCAACTCCAACTACAACATTTTGGCCTCATGGCTCTTAAGCCACTGAGGCTCCACTGAACTGTCCTGATGGAGAGCAGTATGAGCTAAGTCATTACACCTGTTAGGGACTTAGCACTGAGACCTTGCCATCATCCCATAATGCAATGGTCTAATGACAGAAAAAAAAAATGTATTTCTCCTTCCTCTAACAGTATGAAAGGCATAAGTCAGCAATGCATCTCTGCCCCTCATGGTCACTTAGGGACTTAGTGACTTAGGAACCTAGTCACTCACGGTCCTCTTAGGGACTTAGATTTTTTCTAAATTACGCTCCTCCATCATTGCTCCTAAGTGTCATTTCAAGAAGTGGAGCTGGTGTCCCACAGGGATCAAGCCTCACAGCAACAAAGTCCCAGCCCATTCACCCTAGTCAAGGTGCAGAGCAGGATCAGAAACTGCCCTAGGTATACCAAGTAGATGCCAAAGAATTTATTTCAGGGACTGAGGTGCTTATACAAGTATTGAGAGGACTGGAAGAACAGGGGGAGCTCTGAGCTCAAAGACACACCATCAAACCTGCAAACCAAGGAGCAAGGACCATGATTCCACCGCTGCCACTCAACCCCCCAAAGCTGGGAAGGGGCCCTGGAACACTGCTGCAGAGAACGTCCCCACCTCCTGGCTTCTCCACAGGAAACAGACAAAAGGACAGCTAGGTGTGCTCTACCTCACTTCCACGCTCCCATGCTAGCAATCTCACACAACTGTTTCTAATCAGATCACCTTGATTGACATCCAGAAACCTGACTACAAGGGGTTCTGGAAAGTGGAGCTTTGGCCTTCCTTGCTTCTACAATGCAGAAAGGCACCCTGGAGAAAGGGAGTGAGGACGTTGGTTGAAACACCCAATCCATATTATCTTCCGCCCTGAGACGCAGAGAAATTGCTCCTTGCTCCAACTCATGCCCCAGCAGGTTCACCTCATCAGTCCTTGCCTTTTTGTTACCTGGAGGCCCTGCTGAGAGGAGAACCCTCTCCTACATCCGGCATCCTGGGTACGCTGTGGATGACATAGCATGACACCAACCAGAGTGAGGCTCAGACACAACTCCCTTAATCTCCTTAGCTCAGTCAAGACACAAAAGAGCTGCTAAAAAACAACTTTAGTAAGAGAATACAAAGATGACATTTTTAAAATGGATCAAAAACTTCAAACGGACATGTCTGCATTGCCCAGAATTCCCATCCAAATTAACTAGGCAATAATATTATTCATGTTTACATGAATTTCTATTATTATTATTACATATTATTACATAATGTGTACTATTTTATCTCACTGTATTCCTGGAAATTAGACTTAACTTCCATTGTACAGATGAGAAAATTGATGCCAGAGAAGTTGAGGGATTAGCCAAGGTCATGCTGCTGGTCAGTGGCAAAGCCAAGCCTAGAAGCCAGGCTTGCTGACTCCACTGTAGTTCTTTTTCCTCGAGGTCTGAGTGGCCTTCCTCCTTAGGTCACTGAGCCCAGCCCCACACATCTGGGTTGGCCCTGTCCCCCCGCATACAGACCCTGCTTCTCTCTAGAGGTTCTGCTTGCCTTCACTTTCCTGGAGGCTCTTCCTCCCCCACCTCAATGGGCATGAGCTGGGGTTAATCCTGGCCACATCACGTGCAGGGTTCACAGTGAGTCAGAAGTGCTTCTTCGCCAAGAATAGAGAAGAGGAACAGACCCACAGTTTGTGTCCCCAGGAAGCTAGTGAAAGGTCATTTCCTCACAGGGACACTCAGCTCAGTGGTCCTCATTTGTGCTGCCTAAGTCTGCTCCAGTCAGTAGCCCTGAGCTCTGACAAGATGCAGAAAGATGCCTGGCAGCCTCACAAAGGGGCAGGTGGAAGCTTAGAGCCCTGTGGGCTGTGCAGCCTCACAGAAGAGCTGAGACTTAAACAGGGCCCCAGAGTTAGTTGTGGGTCAGAGGGAAGAGTTTCTGTAGCACAGGGGTTCATAGGTCCTTCGGGCAAATCATTCACATTCGAGGCCTCATCTTGCCACCCGTAAAGTAGAGATTATAACAGAACCTTCCGCAGAGTTGTAGTGAGGAGTCAGTTAGGCTTATACAGAGGGATCTGTGTGCCACGCACCATTCTAAACTTGGTATAGGCAGTAACTTTCTGATTCCACACAACACCCTTAAGAGGGAGGTACTCTAGAAGAAGAAAGGAAACAAGAAAGTCAGGTAACTAGTTTTCCCAGCTATAAAGGGGCAAAACTGGGATTGGACCAATACAGTCTGGCCACAGAGCCTGGTCTATAAACACCAATCAATCTCTCCTGCCACACATGACTCCCACAACTCTGTAAGCAATGGCTGCAGTAACAGAGACGATTTGTGGACCAGATGGCACATCCAGAAGCTCGGCCCTTGTACACACAAACCCGAAGTGACCCATGCGGAGGGATGTGCTGAGCAATGGTGCAAAAGCTGCTGTCAGAGCTGATTGAGAGGACACCAAGGTGCAGGGCTCAGTTCCCATGACCTGGTGGCAGAGATATTGAAAAAGGCTCATTGGGGCCATCTTGAAGGGTGATATTACAACAAAAGCAGGGCTTAGAGAAGATTTAAGAAGAAGTGGGGTGCAGCTGATTTGGGGAGGGTAGGGGGAGCTAAGAGGCACATCTGTGCTGTGAATACCCTGCTGTATAGACCCTTGTCCTGCAGGAGAAAGCCTTCTTGAGGCCCAGATGGCAGGTCCCTTTTCTGTCCTAAGTCACCCTTCCCAAGAGTAACGCAGGCCTCCTGACTCTTCTGTGATTTTCCCTGGGGCCTGGGCCTTTCATTGATAGTCAGGTCCCTGGGGTTGGTTGGCTTTGAGCTGCAGGAATTGCTGGAAGCAGACAGAGGTAGAAACACTTGTAAGCAGTCCTTATGAGAACAATATAAAAGGAGAGGGTCTTTCTGGTAGACAAGGTATAGGCATAGTAAGGGGGTTGGGCCAAGGCCCAGGCCAAAATCTGGGTACAGTATGTAGGACCAAGTGTTGTAAGAATTCAGGAGCATGGAGGGCTGGGCATCAGTAGAGGATGCTTGGAGTTGCTGACTATAAGCATGGGTACATTTCTCTCTAAGCTGACTTTCATCATCTTCAAAATGCTGTGACATCTTCTTCCAGGATGTTTACTCTCCTGGCTGAGAAATTGTTCCCTGACCCTAGGAAACCAGGCCTGGGAGGAGATGTCCACGGCTTCTTCTCCCTATGCTCTGCCCTAAATCACAGTGTGTAGACCCGGCCTCCGTCAGGTTGGGTTCTTGTAGCCAGAAAGACTAGGGACATTGGCTCTGGGGGAACAAGGCTGTGGGCATCCAGGTGCCAAGAGCATGGCTCATTTGGTGACAATTGTCACAGCCTGCTACTGCCACCAACACAATCCACAGTCACCAAAAGGGGCAGCTATGTAGGGTTTCCACAGCACAGGCAAGGTGGGGGAGGCCCTCCAGGGTAACAAGCTGACCACTTCCCCTGCAGGTCAACAGAGGACTTCACTGTTTCATCAGATGGCTCCACTCAGTCTGTAGACAACTTAACTCCTCTGCCTCTCTGACTCCCTCCAGGGAGAAAGGGCCAGGCCGGGCATGAGAACTGACCCTGGAGTGTGAGCAGGAGAGGATCCTTCACGTTTATCTGCCCCTGTTCCATCATCTGTAGACCGCAGAGCTGGACTGATAGGAAGAGCTGCCTGCTACTCCAGAATGTCACCTCCCCCCGTGACCAGCCCCACAGGACTCCTTTCTGAGGCTGTGAGAAGGGGCTGGATGCCCTAACTGCCCCTGCTTTCTACTAGAATACCAGCTTCACGAGGGCTGGGACTTTTATCTGTTTGTTTCACTGTTGAGTCCCCAAAACCTAGCAGCGTGCTTGGTGCATAGTAGGGGCACAAGAAATATTCCTTGACTGAATAGTGATAAAAAGCAAAATTCTGCAACTAGATTTAATGATTATGAATCTTTAGACGTAAAACAACTGAAATACATCAAAAGCTATTAGAAATACACAAATGTGCGAAAAGGATACACATAGATAAATGTCAGACAGGAGTGTTCTTAAAAATCCTCTTAGACAAATTGATAGGTTGACCACACTCATTACATATGAGGATATAGAATATCTGAATGACAAAAATGACAAATGCCTAATCTGTGAAATATGCCTATGCAATATTTGTAAAAAGTAAGCTATACTAGGCCACAAAGAAAATCACAGTAAATTCCAAAAAAGCAGAACGTATTATTTAACACTGGCTCCTACTTTTTTTGTATAAGGTAGGAAAACCCTTTAAAAAACAGAACTACATACACAGAAAACAATAAAGCCATTTCTATATATCTTTATTGTTATAGATGCAAAATGTCATTGAATAAGCTATCAGGAAATCAAATCCAGCAAAAGACCACCATGACTAAGTAGGATTCTATTTGAGAAGTGCAAAGATATTTGATCATTAGGAAATTATTAATGTGATTTATTATGCTAACAGATAAAAGGATAAAGATTTGTGTTAATATTTTGATAGATGCTGAAAACATACTTGAAAAATTAGGACCCCTTCTTATTTAGAAAATAACCTCTGGTGACTTGAAATTGAAGAAAAATTTCCTCTACTTTATGGAAGGTAATTATCAGAAATCAACAACAAGTGACATAGTATAAAACTAGAAATAGTCACGTTAATGTCAGGAACAAGACAAGCATTCCAGCTATCACTGGTACTAGGTAACATTGTTCTACTTGTTTTACCAATCCGAGAACAAAAAGAAAAAGATATAAGGTTATAAATTCCAGTTATCATTACTTCAAAGAATTTATCCAGAAAACCCCATGCAATTAACTAGAAAAATATGTAAGAACTAATCAGAGTTCATACATATGTATTCAATAAAGTAGTTAACACACAATAAATACACTATGATATCCTCAATATTATTATATCTTATTAGACAATATAATGTTTCCAGTTAAAAGCGTTAGATTCAGTACACACATTCATGTCTGTTTTCCCCAAATATCTACTATAATTACAGCAAAGGAATAAAAATAAGAAAAACTCATAATGACAAAGAGAAGAATCAACAGCAGACAAGACATTTCAACAAAATTTTGAAGCTGGCAGTGGGTGGATGAGTGGGAGCTGACTAAGCAGAACCAAGAAAATAGAACTGTCCTGCAGTCAAAGGCGTAGTGAATAAAAACCAGGACAACCTGGTAAACTCAGAACTCAGAGGTACCTGTTACCGCAAAGGCAGGGGTGCAGGGCAGACTGAAAACAGAACTGGCTTGCTTACTCCTCCCCTCCTCCATCTTCTGTAATCAGGAGACACTGGGCAGCTGTCTCCAGACAGACAGCTGCACAGACAGCTCCAGACAGCTGCACAGAAGGGCAGGTTGCATCCAGAGAGGTCTGCCCAGCAGATAGGAAGCAGGGGGAGCAGGGGATCTCTATGTCAAACAGTGAGGTGCCCTGCCACCTTTTTCTCTGGGACCTATAGACTGCTGGCAGCTGAGCTTCTGTTTCCCAGGCAAACTATCGAAGAATTCCTTTCTGAGGAGTCTTCCGCAATGCTTGGACAAAATGAAATCGGAGATGAAGGGATGCTCCAATGGAAAATCCCCCTAGCCACTTCATGCTCTGCAGTAGAATCTACAGATCACCAAACATGTCCCACAAAGATCTAAATGGTAAAGGGGGACTTGCCCTACGAATAACCAAACATATTATAAAATTACAAGAGATACAATGATGTGTTTCCCATAAAGGAAAAGGGAACTCATTGGAATGCAATCAGGAGTCCAGAAACAAACTCAGAAATTTAGTATTTGAAGGAGTTGACTTTTCAAGTGAGTGGAAAAGAGTATGTTATAATTTAATGACATTTGAGAAAATCCCAGATGCCTTAGTAATGTAAAAGTAAAAAATAAAGCTACATAAAAGTACTAGGACAGAGGAGGAGTTTCTAAGATTAATAAAAAGCTAAGAAGCCACGAAAGAAAAGGACAAAGGAAAACCCAAAAGAAAATGTGAATATGGAAAGATCAAAGCCTTGTTTGGCCAAAGATGTCATAAAAGAACGAATTTCCATTTCTGGTTATAATGGAGTAACTGGACCTGCCCTTTTGCTATAAGCAACTAGAACAAAATATGTAAAACAATTGTTTTCAGACAGTGGACAATAGGCAGAGCAAAACTGTGATTCAAGTTCCCGGATAGTGAAGCAGCCTGGATGAGCTCACAAACCGCTCTGGGTTTCTTCCTGGGGGCTTGTTTGAGGCCACAGAGCAGGGAAAGAGGTCCCCACATGGGGCATGACAGTTGCACAAAACTGGAGCAAGAAACGTGGGAGTTTGGGGAGGTGGAGGGTGCTGGAGTTTGGAGAGAAGTGTGAAAGTGGGGGAGCTACACAGAGAAAGCGCTCCAGAAATTGTAAGTTTCCCTGTGTTTGCACAGGAGGGACTTCCCCAGGCCAGGCAAAGAACGGCCCTGGAAATTCTTATTCTAAACTGAGCTGGCAGAAAGCTGCGTCCCTGTAAGCGTGAATGGGACTCAAAGACAAGGCCAAAGCCAGTCATATGGCGGAGAATTAATAGTCTGAAGATGAGACAAGGCCAGACACAGGAAAGAAACACGTTTTTGGAGTGGTTTAAAGACCTGGCAAAATGCAGCTCCAGCCCCATCTGCAATGAAGGAAGTGCAGGGAACACCCGGGGTGGCTGTCACTTCCTGGTACCTTGGACCCTTTGTGGCATCCCTGTTATGCATATTAAAGCTCTGCTGTTTTGTTTTTCTTTTTAACGAACTAAACGTTCCTAGCTATAAAGCCCTAAAATAATGATATACTTGGTTCAGGGCAGAAGGGACAGAAAGGACAACCAACCCAGGGAGAAGAGAGTATGGCGGCTGTCACAGACACAAGCACAAAGCCTTTGTTCATCCAACAAGTATTTATTGGAGACCCGCTGTCTGACAGGCCTGTGCTGGTTGCTGGGGGTGATACAGAAGCACAGCAGGGCTCTTGCCTTGAGGAACTGTTGATGCCATAGGGTCACACGAGGTAAGCATGTTTGAGGGTTAAATACTAAAAGGACAGGGCAGGAAATACAAAAGGCCAAATGGAAGGCCCCAGAGAACAAGCTGGGTTCAGAGGCTCACAAGACGTCACTGTGGGAAGGGTCCAGAGCTGGCAGTGGCGGTGACCTCTCAGCTCTGGCCTGTTTCAGGCCACACCCTGACTGAAGGGCTTCTTGCAGACCCAGGGATAGCGGGCATTGCAGCTTACGTCATTCCACTTCTGCTGAATTTGAACACAGTCTTCATCCCCCCCATTATTGTGCCAGTTGTCTGGCTGATTCTTTGACCAAAACCTGGAAGAAGAAGGCTTTACTCTGCTAGAGGAAAGAAGGGTCCCTTCCCCCTACCTCCCACTGTGGCATAAGGAGCTGGAGTGACATGGGTCTCTAATCCCCTGGTGGCCCCAGGATGGGAACAAAGCTGGGACCAGAGTCTCCATGAGGGTGGCTCTACTGAGGCTGTCCTTCGTTATTGAAGACTGAGGGACAGAAAGGGTGTGTGCAGCTATAAGCCTCCACCTCAAAATTCACATTCATATACCTTGTGATGGGGCGGTCCCTTGGGACTAGGCTTGTGTAGGGTATAGTTAGGCCAAAAAAATAGAAGCCCAAAACAGGAAGGTCCATTCATAGGCTGCCTGCCAACCCTAGGACCTGTCTTATAGAGGGGTCCAGGCAAAGATCACAAATATGCCCATGTGCACACACACACACACATACACCATACACATCAACATGCACAAACACATCACACACACTCATACATACACCCTGTCACGCATGTCATAAATGACCATATAGGTAATATACACACATCACATACACCATACGCACACCACACACACATCACACACAACACTGACACTCACCAGACAGGCCTGCACACAGGACAGGGAGTTTCTAACCAGTCCTGCACAGGGACAGTGCCGGGGATGACACCAGACTGTGGCTACTCACTGTCTGCTCCCAGAAGAACTGAATGTTGACCCATCAGTCCAGCGCCAAGTGCCCTCACTGTTCCTGTCATTGAGGCCAATCCAGTGGTAGGAGGTACTTGTGAACTGGATCAGATATGCCTGTAAAGACCAGGCAGTGTTGTTTGTCACTGACCGAGGAGCTGCTTCTCCAGCCTTGTAGAGAAGGAGTCCAGGTCATCCCGTCCTGCTCCTGCGGCGAGTAGCCCACTCCTCTGCGGGAGCTACGTCCCTCCCTGTACCTCCTGTGTTCTGCCCAGGATCTAGGGCAGCAGCCAGGTCCCCTCAAGAGAAGTTCAGCTTCTCCCATGTTGACTCGATGAGGGGTGTGGCTTTACTGAAACAAGAAGACCTGGCCACCGTTCATTAAAGTCTGTTTTACAAAACAGCGTGTCCTCTGACAGACAGACATATAAGAGAACTACAGGGATGGGAAGTTCTGTAAATTGAATTGTGCCAAACCTACTGTAGTCCCTTGTCAATAACCCTACTAAGTTCTGACAAGCACCTTTGGCAGAGGGGCTGCCCAGAGGCTATAATGCATTTGGTGGCCCTCAAACTCCTATGAGTGTATCTGGCCTTACCGAGAAGCCTGGGCTCCTGCTCATGGGCCCTTTACAGTCACTGAATTAACTGATGTTAAAATCAAGATCGGCAACCAGAAAGGAGGCTGAGGGGCTAAACAAGAGGACGTGGCGGGGGGGAAGTATGTTTCCAACACCTCATCACTTAGTGCCACCTCCCTTTGTCCTTCCTCATTGCTGACACCTGCGGGCCTCTGGGTGTCACCCTCATTCACTGAGGACATTGGGGTTTACTGTTAGTGTTTCTACCTCCAGTGCAAGATGTTCATTGGAACTCAATAAATATTTGCTCCCTGACAGAGGTGACATGAAAGTTTCTGCCACCCCTGCTCTGAGAGGGGCAAAGCCAAAACATCCAAGTCCTTCATCCCACATCCACCCCATCGGCACCACCCCAAGTCCAAAGTTCTCACCTGCTCCTCTGCAGAGGTCACTGAGGCCAGGTGGGCTCCCTGGGACACACAGTACTGCTCAGCCTCCTGCCAAGTCTTCTTGTCAGAAGAAAAGTAGTACAAGTTCCTGCCGTACATCTTCCAGCCTTGCGTGATCAGCTGGAGAACTTCATCTGGAGCGAAGATTGGGAAGGAGAGGGAACCAGGGGCTGGCTGTGGATGTCCAAGAGCTGGCCTTCCTGACCTCTCCAGGGGCTGACCACTGCGAGTCACAAGCCCATGCAACACTTGATGCCCAGTGCCTCAGGGGCAAAGCCTGGAAGTGCGCCCCCAGCCTACACCCAATAGGCCAGGAAGCTGCTGCCCAGAACACCTGGCTCCCTCACCCCAGAAATCCTCAGAGCTTTAGAGTCCTGCTCTCTGGCTCTGCTGTCCTGCTTCCCCACTCACTGCTATCACCTGAAAGTCCTTTGCACCTCAGGTCCTGCCATCTCCCGGGGGCAGATTTCACAGCCACTCCATGGCATCCCTCATTTCCTTGACTTCATCTCCCTCCACTTCAGCCGCCCACACCCAGGACCAGACTGGGGACCTTGCCATCACCTGGCCTGCTTGGCCTCACAGTTTCATTTAGCTCCTACCCTGAGCACAAACCCCGAGTCTCTCAGCTGTTTCATCCCTCCCTGCCACGATGCTCTGCTCCTTAACATCATCTGCACCACAGCTGCTTGAAATGGTGCCACAGCAGGCTCCCTCCTCATCCACGTATTTTTGCTCAACATTCATTGTTCAACATTCCTTAATTCTAGGAAGTAGGGATTGTTATACATAGATCAATGACATGATTCATGCCCTCGAGGAACATACAGTGTAGTAAATAAGACAGGTGTTGGAGATGCGTTGATTGAACACAGTACATGTTACGATGAAGGCAGGAAAGAGAGCATAGTCTATTTCACCTGGGCTGGATGTGAGGCTTTAGGGAGGGCGCCCTGGGTGAGAGTTCACTTGAGCTGAGTCTCAAAGATGGAGGAACAGTTTGCCATGTGGTCAGGGCCGAGGACAGCATTCCAGGCAGGGGAAAGAGTAGATGCACACACATGACGGTGTGAAAGAGCATGGTACGGCATTCGCCGGGGTCCATACATAAGGGGTGGGAGACCAGTTTGGACAGGTTCACCAGCACCACATCATACTTCCCTTGCAAACGAGTTTGGGATTTTCCCCGCTGTGAGCGCCAGGAAGCCGGGAAGGCCGTGGCTCCTTTCACATCAGATCCAGCCTATTCCGATCTAGAAAAAACCCTCTCAAGGAACTTCATTAAAATGTTAGCAGAGGGTTTATATAGAAAATATAAACATTTTCATGGAAATACAAGTGGTTATTTCCTCTTTTTCAACATTTGCCACATTGTCTATAATCACTCTGTAGGTTTTGTCATGTAAATATTGATGATACACGTTTTTTCTTTAATCCCTCCCTCCACCCTGCCATCCCCCTCACCTTAGCCTCAGCTCTCCCCTCTTCTCAGCCCAGCTCCTTGAATGACATGGGCACCGTGTCTGTCATTCACACCCCGCTGACCGTGGCCTGGCCTCCGGGCCACATACAACTCTCCACAGAAAGTTCATTCCATTGACTTACTAACTGGCCAGAGTCAGCGGTATTATTGGTTATTTTACCCGGCCTCTCTGAGGCATTTGCCAAGACTAGCCACTCCCTTCTTGACATTTTGTCCTTCCTTGGCTTCCCTAACTAAACATCTCCTGGTTTTCCTCCTGCCTCTAAGACGACCTTCTCCAGTCTCCTTCAAAAGCACTCCTTTCCCTCCTTGCCACCAGAAGGCCAACTTCCTGTTTCCACTCTCAGCCTTCCTCTCACGAAGCATTTTATCTCATCCAAACTCCCAACTGCACCCCTTTTCCACAACCAGAAACAACATACCACGGCTCCCACACCGATGTCCACAGCCAGGACCTCTCTCCCACACTCCAGATAGCCTGCAGGCGACCTGCCCTCGAATATCTATCTCTACAGCATCTCTGACTCAGCATGTCCAAATCTGGCCTTTCTGCCTGTTTCATTTCCCCATCTCGGCAGGAGACCCTTCCAGGCAGCCTCTGGGAAGCCCGTCCACAGATACTCATTTCCTGAAGGATGAAACCCAAGCTCAGAGGCCGTCCTCACCTGGCCAGTATCTCTCTGCATATGCCTACCTTTCCAGCACCGTGTCTTTCAAACTACAATTATCAACCCATTACTGAGTTGCGTCAAGGTGGTTTTTGTTTTTTAAAAATAAATTATAAAATGTCCACATGCATTCAGGCAGTAAAATTTTGTTTTCTGACGTGTGTGTGTGTGACACACATAATTTTACTGGGTCACAGTGTAAAATGAATGTCATGCTGTGGTTTGGAAGCTGCCATTCTGCCCCCTGCCTACTGTCCTTTCGGCTTGCTCCTCGTCGGCTGCCCTCCTGGTCACTGTCCGGTCACACAGAACTGCTCCAACTTTCCTGAACCTCCTGGTTTCACATCTCCATGCCCGGGAACCTGCTGCTCTCTCACCCTATCGGCTTGGCAAACACCTACTCATTTTCCAGGACACCAATCAAGGGCCATCTTCTCCACAAAGCATCTTTTGATCCCCCCCCCCCAATTTTTTCCACCACCCCTTGTTCCTACACCAGAGGACATCGACCCCAAGAAGAATTCTTCTTTCCCTTCCATCTACCCCAGTTCCTAGACCTGCTCCTAACATAACTCTTACAGCCACTCCTCTCTGCCTTTCTAAGGCCTTTCATGCAAGGCTACTCTACCAGCCTGTAAGCTTCCAGGGTGGGCATTGCACCTTGTTCATCTTTATGCCCGACACATAATAGGGCCTCAAAAAATCTTGTGAGTCCTGGCTTGTGCAGCTCAGTGGACTGAGCGCGGGCTTTGAACCAGAGGGTCACTGGTTTGATCCCTAGTCAGGGCACAGGCCTCAGTTTTGGGCCAGGTCCCCAGTGGGGGACACATGAGAGGCAACCACACATTGTTGTTTCTCTCCCTTTCTTTCTCCCTCCCTTCCCCTCTCTCTAAAAATAAATAAATAAAATATTTTTAAAAAATCGTGTCAGATGAATGCAGGAATGCCGGGTACTGTGCTAAATGCTTTATGCATGTGAACTCATTTGATCCTCCCTCTGAAGCGAATACTATTATCCCCAGTTTGCAGATGAGAAAAGTGCAGGTAAGCAACCTGATCGAAGTTATACCACTTGTGACCGCAGGAAGTCAGATACAAGACCGTCAGGCCCCACCAGCACCCACTCTTTACACACCCTTCGCCACACGTAGCTGGTTCCCCGAGTGTTAGTTTTGTCGCTCCGGCCAGGTGATAAGCAGCCTCAGAGGAGGCTCCATGCTGTCTGTGCCCCCTCCGCCACTGCCTGGGCACGCAGAGCCCAGTCGGCTGGGTGCAGCCCCTTTCCCGCACCGCTGCTTCTTCCCAGAAGGACGCATGGTGAAGTAAGCAAAGGAGCAAAGGGACAGAAGACTCCACCCTCCCACGAGATCGTGCCTTCCCCAGGCCAACACCCCCGTTCCCACTCACTTTGTCGCTGCTCTTGGGAAGCAAAGGCTGAACGGAGGGTCTCCAGGCTACTCTGCACCTCCTGGGCTTTTGTAGCCAGTGTTTTGGTGTTGTCCACGTCATGTTTTAACCTCTGAATCTCAGCGTTGGCCTCCTGCAGCTTCCTCTCTAACATCTGGGTCTTGGATTTTAAGGCCGCAGCATCTTTCATTTCTTGTTTTAGGATCTGTATCTCTCTGCTGTCATTTTTCAAGTGATTGTTTAATACCTCAACGTTGGCATTTAAGGCACTGGTGTTTTCCAGCTCTGTTTTTAATCCTTGGATCTGAGCGTTTGTCTGCTCCAGGCGACCGTTTGCCATTTGGGCCTGGGCAGTGGCCGTTTCCAAATCTCTTTTTAACTGATGAATCTCATTGCCAGCTCTTTCCAGATGACCTCTTAATAACTGGATCTCAGCACTGGTGTTGTCCAAACTGCCTTGTACAAGGGTCTGCGTCTGGGAGTTTAAATCATTTGCTGTTTGCAGGCTTCCCTTTAGCTTCTGAATCTCAGCATTGGTTCCTTTCAAACTGTTTCTTAAAACCTGATTCTGGGCCCTTAAATCATTGACACTATCTAGATTACCTCTTAAAATAAGTATCTGAGCATTAGCATTCTTTAAACCACTGTTTGCCAACTGGGCCTGGGTATTTGCCATTTTCAACCCTGCCTTCAATGCCTGAATTTCAGTGTTGGTATTTTCTAAGCCTCTGCTCAACATGTGGAGCTCAGAGCTGGTGTTCTCTAAACCAGTTTTTAGGAATCTCTGGGTCTGGGAATTTAAAGCATTTGCCTTTTCCAGATCTCTCTTCTGTCTCTGGATCTCAGCACTGGCCGCCTCCAAGGAACTGTTCAACATCTGCGTCTGGAAACTCAAGATACTGGCATCCTCGAGAGCACCTTTTACTGACTGCACATCAGCACTGGTGTTTCTCAGATGACCGCTGAGCACCTGGATCTGAGAACTGACATTATCCACTCTGCACATCAGCATCTGGATGTCCACGCTCCAGGCGCTGGAATTCTCCACATGGTCTTTGAACATCTGGATAGTCTCTTGCAGTTCTGCCACCCTGCCAGTGTGGTGGGGATCTGGAGAGAGGAGACAGAGAAGGCAGCCAAAGAGGCCCATTGCACAGGGTGACATTAATTATACAAGCCAAACAGAGTGTTTCTAAAATTTCTAAAGGGGAGGTCTACGACAGAGCCCTGAGTGCTCCGCAAGCAGCTTGCTGCTCACCGCAACCACTGAGACCCTGAGTATGGGCTGCTGAAGAATGTGAGCCAAAAAAATGAAATAAATAAAGGCCTATCCCAGATGAACTGAGGGGCAGAAGCATCAAAATACTTGCCTACTATAAACGAGCTGCCATCAAGAGTCATGCTGGTAAGGCTTGGATTGTTTCGTCATTGTAATTGAACTTGAAAGTAATTGATTATATCATCGAGAGCTGTTGAAGTTTGATTCCCTTAAAATTTCACCATTAGAATGGCCATTACAAAAAAAGAAAACTGATATGAATAAAGCCCATATTTAGTCCTGTGCTACATTTCAACCCCAAGCACAGAGTCTCTTGACTCACCCTTGCTACTTCCTGAAAACTACGCAGACCACAAACGCAAGGATTTTCTGATCACACATTCCAAGGGTAAAAGAAACAGAAACAAACCGACCAAAAAAATGGTGCTCGAGGAGGAAGCACTCTGTTCAATCCCAAGCTCTAGTGGGAGCCCTGGGAGGTCCTAGCCCCTGGGGCTAAAGTGGCCTTGGAAAGGGCCTGCACGCTCAGTGTTACAAAGGACAAGGGTCTCTACAGAACAGTTTGAGGATATGAAAGACCTGAATAAAAGGCCTTGGTCACTTGGTCCCTGGGGTTATTCAAGGAAACTTGGTTACCTCTTTTACATATGGAAACCACCAGATCCACCTCTGCAGCTGCCTCTGGCCCTCTTTGCTCTTGAGCTAGGACCTAATCTTAGACATGATCTTTGGCTCCTGATGCCAGCCTCCCCTCAGAAAAAGAAAGAAAAATCCAAGTAGGCAGGAACTCTTTCTTGAAGTTTCCTGCCCTATTCTTTTTTTTTTTTTTTAAGATTTACTTATCTTTAGAAGGGAAGGGAATGAGAGAGGGAGAGAAATATCAATGTATGGTTGCCTCTCATGCATCCCCCACTGAAAACTGGCCTGCAACCCAGGCATGTGCCCTGACTGGGAATCAAACCATGATCCTTTGGTTCGCAGGCCCATGCTCAATCCACTGAGCTACACCAGCCAGGGCTGTCCTAGTCTTCATGCCCTCCCTGGGTAGGTGTGTGAGGCCTCAGACCCTGTGCCGAGGCAAGGCCAGGTGGGCCAGGTGGCTTTGAAGGTGCAGGAAGTCTAGTCAAATATTCTACCTTATAAAGATAGACACATAGATCTATGGATGAATTAGGGAATGCAGAGAAGTAGGCCCACACATATATGAAAAATTGATGTCAATGAAGAGAAAAAGGCAATTTGTGGAGAAATAATAATCTTTTCAACAAATGTTACCAAAAATTATTTATCCACATGCAAAAAAATGAATCTCATATACAAAATTTAACTTAAAATTAATCATAGACCTAAATGTAAAACCCCAAACTATAAAATTTCCAGAAGGAAATATAGGAGAATGTCTTTGTGACCTAAGAATAGGGACAGATCTCTCAGATATGAGGCCAAAAGCACAATCCATAAAAGAAAAAAAAAGTTGGTAAATTAGACTTTATCGAAATTCACTTCTTGTTAAGAGAATGAAAAGATAAGCCATGGACTGAGGGAAAATATTTGCAAATCACATGACTAATAAAGGACAAAAAAAGAGTACATACTACATTATTCCTTTCATATAAAACTCTAGAAAAGCCAAGTGATCTACATCCCAACAGGCAGACAGGTGGTTGCCTGGGGATGAAGGACAAGGTGGGAGGGAAGGAAGCCGAGTCACGAGCCATCTTGGGGGAGGAAGGTGAGTATGTTCATCATCCTTATTGTGGAGATATTTTCACGGGTATTAATCCACGTCAGAGTTATCAGCTTGCACACTTTAAATACGTGTACTTTATTTTGTGTCAGTTATATCTCAATAAAGTAATTTTCTAAAAAAAAAACTTGTGCCCATCTGGGAGGATAGTAAAACTCATTCAAGGGCATGGGAGAGTTAGGGCAGAGGCTCATCCGGGTCTGGGCTCCAGCATGTCCCAGCCCCTCCCACCCCCCTGGCCTGCTGTGGCTACTCACCATCAGGTTCCCCAGGGGCCTGCTCAGTAGTGTTGTCTCTGGGAAACTCTTGGTAGTGGGCAGAGGACGCCAGTACGGGTCTTGGTTTCTGTAGAACTGAGACATCCCATGCCTGGGTCAGCACAATCCCTCGGCATTGAGCCTGGGGAACAGGTTGCCCCACCCTGAGTCAGGGTTCCAGAAGGGAGAAGATGGCACTGGGTACCCCTCAGAGTTTCCCTCATGGGCCTCTGCTCTTGGGAGGGTGCCCTTGGTCAGTGGCCTTTATGCAGGAAAAAGGGGGAGTCGGTAGAATTCAGATTACCCACAGAAGAGCTTACCCACAAAAAAGAGAGCCATAAGAGAGGTGATAATGGTCATGACCAAAAATGCCACAGTGGCCTGAACAAGCCTTCGCTTCTTGGAGGCAGCAGGAGCCACTGCTGAGGAGTCCAGGCCTGCGGGGAAGATGCCAGTGTCCAGGAGGAGTCTGTGGGCTGGACAGAGTCAGCCCCCTGGGCCCAGTCTTCCGGTCTGTCCGATGGGGACGAGAACACCTGCCACACTTACCATGAAGAAGGAAAATGAAACCCTTTGAATAGTTCGCCAGAGCTCATCAGGGGATACGGTAGCAACACAGAGGCTGGAGATGGTACACAGGGCACAGAACCCGGCCCAGGCAAGGAGGGCAACAGAAGTGTGGTTTGAACAAAAGGAGAGAGGAGGGAGCTGGGGGAGGAGAGAAGGAGAAACAGAGCAGAAACCCTGGTCTCCGAGTCCCAGGGCCAGTCTTGCTGAAGAACCCAGACCAGAGCAAGACTCACAGCCCCCTGGGGCTGCCACCTCCTCCGCAAACTGACAGGGGTCAGTCCTGGAGACTCCCTCTGCTGCGGCCAGAAGGACCCTGTCAGTGTCCTAAGAAGGGCTGTGACCGGGAGCCTGGGGGCTGTGGAGCCACCGCAGCCTGGAGCCCCCGAGGCCCCATGGAGGCAGCCCAGTGTCCAGAGATGGCGTTCAAAACCAGGCCCCATCTGAATTCAGAGTTCACCTTTCTCTTGCCAGGCTGCCATCCCCAAGAAAAGGGTCTAGGGAGATTTCAGGAAGAGACTGGGGGTATGCCCCAGGTTCTTGGTCCTCACCCTACCCATCTCTGCCCTTGCCTGGTTGTTCTGGAGGCTCAGACTGTGGTAAGCTACACAAGCTCTGGCCTGTGAAGCAGGGGGCTGAGAAAAATGGTTGAGGGCTGGGAGACAAGCAGGCCGGTCCCTGGTTAAGGATGTGCTGGGCCCCAGTCTCCTCACCTTGGTTGTACAGGGCAACAGTCTGGTTGTCTGTACAGAAGTGAACCTTGTTGTCTTTCATCTCTGCTTCCTTCATCCTCCAATGCTGCTCCCTGACTTGGCCTCTGAAGAGTTGCTCTGTGGGCCAGTAGTTGTGGGAGGAAAGCCTGGGGGATCCTGGACTTTTATACTCTTTAGTAGGTCCTGACCACACCTACGCTCTGCCTCCCTCCCCTGCTGACTCCGCAGAAGCACCCCAGTGGGGCCCCTCCCCTAGAGCGTCCAGGCACTGAGCTGCCCAGGCCCTATCCTCTTCCTCTTCCCATCAGCACCAGCCCTCCCCCTCCCACAGGCCCATCACCCCAACACTTGCATTGCAGCATAGCCCCCAAACACTAGCTTCTGCCCCAAATCACAAACACTTTCACCAACAACTCAGGAGGAGGTCAGAGGTTCCTTCTCAGCTTTGCAGAAAACATTTCTTGTGACCCATGGCTGGCCTAATCCTAGCCTTGTACCCTCTTGAGGTCTCCCTGCCCACTCAGGACCTCACAACTGGCATGGCATGAAAGAGTCTACAGTAGAATAAAAAATATGCCTGCTGCTTGTGGACCTAGACTAGGAAGACAGGGAAGTGAGGTGTCCCGCTGGAGCTGTGCAAGCCCCAAGTCCCCATCCCCCTGGGGGAGTAGTCAGCTAAACAAAATCAGTATTTCCACTAGTAGAACAAGGCACCTCTCTCAAAGTCAATTCTGAGGATACTAGCAGATTCTTGTTCCCTGATCCCCCGTTATATCAGATAATTATAATCCTATCAAAGTAGATCACGTTTTCTTTAACTCATAAAAATCTAATTACATAATATTTGTCCCCGATCTCACCAGCAACCCATTTACAAGGTGTCAGTTACAACCTTGCAAATGGCTTGTTCTACCCACATTGTCTTGCTTTTTCCTATTTTCACTTCAGTTCCTATGTCCTGTTCCCACGGCTTTTTCTGAAATCCTGGAGTCAGCCTCCCATAGGTGCCCCGTGTGGTAACTGAGAAGCCTGCAGCCCTGTCCAGTGGTGGATCAGCCCCACTGAAAGTGCTTCCTCCTGAGGTCAGGCCAGGAGAGCGGCTGAAGCCCAAAGCCTGTGTCATGGATGGCCACTGTCAGCTCGGCCAGCAACTAGCTGGGTACATAGCTGATCTGCAGGGTGCAGAAAACTGGTTCATGATGCCATGGAGCTTTGAGTGTGTGTGTGTGTGTGTGTGTGTGTGTGTGTGTGTGTGTGTGTAGAGTACAGAGCCACCATCAGTTGGCCAGTTACCTCCTGGCCTGAAAGAAGACCTGAGAGGAAAGGACACAGGAGGAAAGTGAGAGCATCCATTGCTGGAGAAGTCAACAGCTCTGCCTGAGACCCCAGAGCATCTGCCATTCCCTTTTCCCCCTCCACGGGAGAGGAGCTGCTGGAAGTACCTCTTCAGAGGCCCATCTGAAGCCCAGGAGTGGTGGAAGAAGAGAAAGGGCCTGTCTTGGTTTCTATTTCCCCACACATGGGAAGAGCTCGGGCAGGGCCCACTCAAAAGCTGCTTCCTCCTAGGGCCTGAGAAGCTGAGGGAGCCTCAGAGAAAAACCTTGGGAAACCTTTGCTCAGCTGGAAGGGTAGACCCTGGGTGAGGAGAGAAGCATAGTCCTCCAGACATGGTGGCCTCGGACGTGTGATCAGCAGGACTCCTATCGCATTCTTCCCTGGTCCCACTCCCTCAAACTCCTGGTTCCAGCTCTTACTTCTCTCACTTGCCAGCAGGAAAGAAATGCCAGGAGGCTGCCACATCCTCGCCAAGGAGTCTCCCTGTTCTCTGGCCGGAAAGGCAGCAAATGGACATTTCATACATTAATATCAGAACCACTCATCAGCTGGGACCTCTTACACATTGGTTTTTCCTGTTCCTACTAAAGGGTACAGGGCCATGGTCCCAGACAGGTAGACCCCTATGTTCGGGCATCCCAGAAGATTTTTAGTCATTCATATCAATCCCTAAGAACAGAGGGTGGGCGGCTATCTTCCAGAGAGTGGCTAGATCTAGCAGTTAGTCTTCTAATGGTTCTCCCTGCCTGGAGTCCTGCCTCCCCAAGTCCTGTCACCATATCGCAGGCATAATGATCTTTTTCAAAAACCAATGCGTTAAGCACACATGACATTACCTGGATATCTCAGCCAAGAAGAAGCAACAACACCCAATAGCAGTGGCACCCACATCTTGGCTTCTAATACCATTCTCAAAAAACCAAACAAAAAACAGGCCTTTTTGGAGAAATATCTGATTCTAGGACTGCAACAGCAAATCTACAAAATGAGCCTGGAGTATCTTGTACTTTCAGAAAGTAAAGAGATGCTTTCAAAAAGTGATAAACACACGTCAAAGGAATACAGGAGCCAGATGAAATAGCTCTCAGTGGACAAAGCTAGAAGAACTTGATCAATAGAATATATATATATATAGTATTACTGGAGACTTCAGCCAAGATGGAGGCATAGGTAGATACATTTTGCCTCCTCACACAACCAAAAGAAGGACAACAAGTTTAAAAACAAAAAAATAACCAGAGCTACCAGAAAATTGAACTGTATAGAAGTCTGACAACCAAGGAGTTTAAGAAAAAACATTCATCCAGACCAGTAGGAGGGGCAGTGACGGGCAGCCAGGTGAAGAGGACTTGCGGCAAGGCAGCAGCTGGAGGACTGGGGTGGGCGATGTGGCAACTGGTGGACTGGGCAGTCCCACATTTGCATGTGGATAAACCGGGAGAAATAACTGGAGAAACTCTGGGGGTGAAACAGACCTCACAACCCAGGGTTCCAGCACAGAGAAATAAAGCCTCAGAACCTCTGACTGAAAAAACCTGTGGGTATTGCAGTGGTGGGATAAACTCCCAGCCTCATAGGAGAGTTTGTTGGAAATACCCACAGGCTCCTAGAATGTACACAAACCTAACCACCTGGGAATCAGCACCGGAAGGGCCCACTTTGCTTGTGGGTATCAGAGGAAGTGACTGAAAGCTGCTGAGAGATGAGCAAGCAGCATTGTTGCCTCTTTGACCCTTCCCCCACATACAGCACCACAACGCAGTCATGTGGGTTCCCCTGCCCTGGTGAATATGCTCCACCCCTTGCTATGTAACAGGCGTGCCAAGACAAAAAAATATGGCCCAATTGAAATAACAGATCAAAGCTTCATAAAAATACAACTAAGTGATGAAGAGATAGCCAACCTATCGGATGCATAGTTCAAAACACTGGTAATCAGGATGCTCACAGAAATGGCTGAGTGTGGTCAAAAAATAGAGGAAAAAGTAAAGTCTATACAAAGTGAAATAAAGGAAAATGTACAGGGAACCAACAATATTGGGAAGGAAACTGAGACTCAAATCAATGGTTTAGAGCAGAAGGAAGAAATAAACATCCAACCAGAACAGAATGAAGAAACAAGAATTAAAAAATATGAGGAGAGGCTTAGGAACCTCCAGGACATTTTTTTAAATATATTTTTTAAGATTTTAATTTATCTTTAGAGGGGAAGGGAAGGAGAGAGGAGGAGAAATATCAATGTATGGTTGCCTTTCATGCATCCCCTGCTGGGAACTGGCCTGCAGGGAACCTGCCTGCAACCCAGGCATGTGCCCTGACTGGGAATTGAACCGAGATTGTCTGGTTCACAGGCCCATGCTCAATCCACTGAGCTATACCAGCCAGGGCTCCAGGACATTTTTAAATGTTCCAACATCTGAATCATAAGGGTGCCAGAAGGAGAAGAGGAAAAGCAAGAAATTGAAAACATAATGAAGAACTTCCCTAATCTGGCAAAGAAAATAGACTTCCAGGAAGTACGGGAAGCTCAGGGAGTCCCAAAAAACTTGGACCCAAGAGAGCACACACCAAGAAGGCACATCATAATTACATTACCCAAGATCAAAGATATGAAGAGAATCTTAAAAGCAGCAAGAGGAAAGGAGACAGTTACCTACAAAGGAGTTCGCATAAGACTCTCAGCTGATTTCTCACAAGAAACCTCCAGGCAAGAAGAGACGAGCTATAAGTATTCAAAGTCGTGAAAAGCAAGGCCCTTCATCCAAGATCACTCTATTCAGCAAAGCTATCATTTTGAATTTGGAGGGCAGATAAAGTGCTTTCCAGATAAGGTTAAGTTAAAGGAGTTCATCACCAAGCCCCTATTATATGAAATATTAAAGGCACTTATCTAAGAAAAAGAAGATAAAAAATACAAACAGTAAAATGACAATAAACTCGCAACTAACAACTACCAAAGCTAAAAAAAAAAACCAACTGAATTAAGCAAACAACTAGAACAGGAACTGATTCACAGAAATGGAGATCACGTGCAGGGTTACCAGCAGGGAGGGAGAGGGGGGAAAAAGGGGGGAAAGGTACAGGAAATAAGAAGCATAAATAGCAGGTGCAAAATAGACAAGGAGAGACTGTGGAAAATGGAGAAGCCAAAGAACTTATATGTATGACCCATGGACATGAACTAAAGTGGGGGAATGATGGTGGGAGGAGGGGGTACATAGTGGAGAAGAATAAAAGGGAGAGAAAAATGGGACAACTGTAATAGCATAATCAATAAAATATATTTTAAAAGAAGCTAAAATGTATATTGTATTATAGATTATAACCCAAAGTCTACAATCTATGAATTTATACAGATATAAATAAATAAATCTCCCATGCACAAATATTTCGGATAATATCTGTAGATACCTCATCCTTAAAAAAGTAGAGCACGACTCTCACTCCTTAAGTGTGGGCTGCACACAGTGACTGCTATGGTCTGAGTGTCTGTGTCCCCCTCCAAATTCATATTCTGAAATCCTAACCCTCAGTATCACGGTATAGGAAGTGAGGCCTTTGGGAGGCGATGAGGTCATGAGGATGGTATCTCAGGAAAGGGATTAGTGCCCTCATAAAGAGGGCCTCAGAGAACTTGCTTGCCCCTTCCACCATGTGAGGACACAACAAGAAGTCTACAACCTGGAAGACAGCCAGGTTGCACTGAAGAAAAATGCCCCCTCTGCAGGACCCTGAGGAGGAGTGGGCCACTCGGCTGAGTCACCCCTCTGCTTTCACTCTGCTCCCCTCCTGTCTGGTGCTGACTGGCTTCCTGCCTCAGCCACTGGGCTGGGATTTGAACAGGATCTCTATGAACAGGGTCTCTAGGGAGAGTGGGAAACCTGAGGCGTCTCCACCTAGTGAGTAAAGCCAGAGAACAGAAGATGGTCCAGTGAACCTCTGAGAGGAAAGAATGCCAAGAAAGACATGACGCTTCAGACCTCACTCTCCTTTATTTCAGTAAAACCAGGGATAAGCACTGCTCTTATCCTGTGGCATTTCTGGAGCTGAAATTCCCCTGAGGATACCCCAGAACTTCACGTCTGGCAAAGCAGGTGGCCTTTCCTGCACACTCATCTCCACACCCAGTAATAAAACATGCAATCAGAGGAGAACTTTACCCAGGCAGCACTTTATTCTAATGAAACTCGAAGGTGAGCTTGCAGGCACTGATGGTCACCTCCTCTGCATGGGGGATGGGGAGGGAGGAAATGCAGAGGAAAGAGGAGGTGCAGGGCAGTGAGGCAGATGGGCTGGGCCCGAGTGGATGCTGGTCCAGCTCTAAAGGAGACATGTTTCCAGGCCTTCCCTTGATCTGAATAAGCTGAGACTGCCCCAGGGAAGAAGGGGTTCAGACCTCAGAGGACGTGGATGAAGAGGATGTTGGGCACTTGGCATGGACAGGATCCCCAAGAGCAGACCTCTTCCCAGAGATAATGACCACCTAAGTAGGTGACTGGGAATTGGGGGGATCAGCTGGAAAAGTGCTGAGTACCAGTATCAGGAGAATTGCTTGAGTGTTTGTAGCAACTTTCTTGTGATGAAACTGAGGCTTCTGTGAAGGGACTCAATCATTCTTCTAACGGTCCTCTTTGCCTCTAGGCTCACCTATCCAAAGTGCTGTCGCCATATGGTCTTTCCGAAAAAACAATTAGGTACGCGGGCATACGTTACCTAGCTCAGCCAAGAAGAAGCAACAACCCCCCAGTAGCAACAGCACCCAGATCCTGGCAAAACCCCAAGTTGTTGTCCCAAATTATGGGTCCTGATATACCTTAATGAGGCAGTTCGAACTTAACGAGGCAGTTTGATTCTCTCCACCATCCCTTCCCCATTTTAACCCAAGATCTCGTTTCCATTCCAGCTGCCTCTGTGAGACCGCAGAACTTCCCAAGCGAGGAAAATTAAGGTGCAAAGTCACCTTGGAGTATGGAGGACCAAGTGTCACTTCCTTGACTTTGACACACACTGGAGCTCTGTGTTAGGAATGTCAGGTTGGGGGCCAGCCCTATCATAAGTCTGATGGGACATAGGGACGTTTGCAGATGAAAAGGAACCGACTGTCGCAGGAAGCATCATTCCATGACTGAAGTGAAGACATCTTTATATTGGCACAGTGTTCATTGTTCCCAGTATTGTTGGGCTCACCGGGAATCCAGAACCTACCAAAGGGACAGGGGAGAAGAACTTATTTCCAATGAAGAAATGAGTAACTTCAATTCTAGCTTTGGTCCTAGGTGTTAACGTCACCAGTTTTTGAACTCAGGCCTGAGAGAAAGGGAATTGGTAAACTGTCAACCTCTAAGCCTGCAGTCACCCCCAAATTAGGTATGCACACATACATTACTTAACTCAGCCAAAAAGAAGTAACAACACCCCAATAGCAGCAGCATGCAGACCTCTGCAAACCCCAAGGCATCACCAGCCCATTTCTCTCAAGGCTCTCCACAAGCCCACAGTACTGACACTTAGACTTAGATGGGGCCTCCTGCCTAAGCTGGCTGGACAGCCATGCTGCCAACCCCCAGAGGGTACAGAGATGCTCCTGCCACCCATACACAGGGAAGGACCCCAAACTCCGTAGACAGGAGGAAATATCACCCCACCCTTCTGCCCTAGGCCTGACCGAGAAAAGTCAGGCTGGGAAGGAGGGCTCTGGAGAGCTTACTTCATACTCTGGACCTCGTTGAATGGAGTGTCATCCACCCAGTGCCAGGCCCCTTCACTCCCTTTCGTCAGGCCAATCCAGTGCAAGAGTCCACCTGCTGTCTGGTACAGAAACTCCTGTAGGGAAGACAGAGTGAGCAGAGACACTAACATCACTCCGAGTTAGAGCCTCTGTGCCTCTGGGTGTTCTTCACCCATCCTCTGAACAGCCTCGAAACCCGCAGGCACACTATGCACACTGACCTTTCTCAAGCCTCTTCCTGTCCCTGCTCATAGCCCAGAGTGCATCTTCCAATTTATGATTCGTCTCTGCCCTGCAGCTAACAGACTTGGGACTCAGGCTTTTACACCCTGAGGAAGCAGGTGCTGCAGCACAAGACAAATTAGCTAAAGCCCAGGACAGGGAGCCCAGGAGAATGGCCCAAATAATAATAATATGTAAATTTAGTGAGCACTTAATATGTACAGGAAACTATATAGTTATACAGCCCTTATTCTTTTTTTTTTTTGAGGCAGTTTCTATTATTACTTGTGCTTCCTCTGGGACTAGTTAGAGGTGGGCTTGGGACTCTCCTCTGACCCCAGAGCCCATGCTCTTACCTGCCCTGCTAGGGTGCCTCCCAGGAGGACGGGACTTGTTCAATTTTCTGCCCTACCAGGTAGGACACCTCTTGGGCTGTGTAGTGTTATTAATTACAATTATTTCTGCTTCCTGGGCATCAGGAAGATAGTACCTTCCTGCTCTCTTTGAAGCTGGGAGTATTATGTCATTTGCTTTGCAAATGAAATGTGAGTAGAGATGTCTGTTATTTCCAGGCAGAGACAACGCACAATTTGTCGTGTTTCCTTTTCCTGCCTCAGCAACTGTGGAAACATACACGCAATGAAGTCTCCATTGGCCTCGATCCTTGAGTAACCACAATGAGCAAAAGCCCTTAATGGCCCTTGCTAAACACATAGTAAAAGTGAGAAGTAATCCTTCATTTTTATGTAACTGATATTTGGGAATTTTTGTCACTGCCACATAATCTTGCCCATCCTAGCTAATACAGTTACTAATATACCTCCTTTCTGGAGCCCATAGAACAGCACTCACCTGTTCACTCTCTGAGGTCACGGAGGTCAGGTGTGAATTCCTGGACATGCAGAACTGCTGGGCGCTATACCAGGTCTTTGGGACACGGGAGAAGTAATAGAAGTTCCCCCTGAAATACTTCCAGCCTTGAGAAACCACCTGTAGAATGTCATCTGGAAAACAAGGGTGAAAGGTGAGCACTGCTGTTCCTGTGTCCTCTGGGTGCTGGCTAGGTGGGAGCACTCGAGTGGGACCCCAGAAATAACAGTGGATGGGGCTGGGCTCTAGGGTCCTTGCAGACACTCTCTCAGATCCTGAAAGTCCAACTGAGATTAGTAGAGTCTCTGGGCTCAGAGATGATGGATCAAGAATCTGTCTCTCATGAGAGATAAGCAATTCTCCATTGGTGATCACAAGGGGCTGAGACCCTTGGCTCTGGGTAATAAAATTAATGAAAAATGGCTGGGTTTGGGCCAGGACAGAGACTCCCTAATGCTCTTATATTCTGTGCCTCTGTGTGTGAGCCAAAGCTGCTTCCTGATCCCTTTTCTCCTGAAAAGCCTCTAAGTCTTCCTCAACCCCAATGCTGAGCCGTCTCTTCTCAGCTCTCCAGCCACGTCTGCCCTGCTCCTCTCCCACTTCCTTCCACACAAACTAGCCCAGTGTCCTCATGACTGAGACTGGCAAGGTCCCATGGGCCACTTGCAATATTCTTTTAAGATCCACTTACTTTGCTGTTTGAGCAACTTGTTGATATTCTCCAAACTGCTCTGGAGTCCACGGACCTTTGCATTTAAAGCACTTGCTTTATCCAAATCTTTTTTTAATTCTGGGATTTGAGTGTTTAAATTATAGACGTCCTGCCAACTTCTTGTTAACATCTGGATCTGTGCATTGGCTTCCTTCACACCAGTTTCCAACTTCCGGATCTGAGAATACACACGATCCAGGCTGGCATTCACCATCTGGACCTGAATGCCAGCTGCCTCCACGCCGCCTCTGTTCCTCTTAATTTCAGAACTCAACATGCTGATGTTGTCCAAACGACCTTCCAGCAACTGGGCATTGGTCTTTACATCTGACAGTGTACCCATAAACCAGGGATCTGGATTTGAGAAAGTCAAGAAGTTGGTCAAGGAGATTTCTAGTGATGAAAGCAGAGATGTTATCACAGCAATGAAAGATAAGGAAAGGAGGGGACAGTCTCAAGCTTCCAAAAGACCCAACCCAGGGATATATTGCCAACCCTACATTCATTCATAATCTATATATTTACTCAACATCTGTTGGCACCTACCATATGCCAGGAGCTCTGGTAGATGCAGGTAATACAAAGATTGGTTAACACAGGCTTTCTATTAGAGGACCTCACAGGCAAACAGAAGCAGGGATCAGAACCCAGTCCTAAATTTTCTTTGCATGTTCAGGGCACATTTGGTAAAGGGATACCCTCAACCACCCCTTTGGTACCCTCCCCACATCCCTTGGGCCCTGTCATTTGATTCCCAGCATCCCCCTCTCAGAGACTCCTGCAGTGGCCATCCATGAGGGCAGCACCACCTCTCCTACATTTGTCCACAGGCTCTTTGTGACTTTGGGGGGAGCCAGCCAGGAAGACTTCTAATCTGGAAGTGACTTCTCCAGAGAACACAGAAAAGGAGAATTATGAAACCATTTCTCCTTTTCCCTTGTCCCTCCCACTGTCACACTCCGATCAAGACACAAGTTTCATGACAGAAAGGAGAACAAAAGTAAACCAAGAGGGATTCAAGCAGAGGAGACTCGGCTTGGAGACTCCAAGTCTGAGATCAAATATGTCCTGAAGCCAGGAAGGGAGAAGACAGGTGTTCCCCTCCTCTACCTTTCTGCAGAGCTGGTGGAAGATGAAGGCCCTGCCAGCACCAGAGGCTATGGGCCTCATCAAAGCTGGGAGAAGGAGAAAGATAGTCACACATCCAACAAAGAACTAGGAAGGCTCCCTTGACTTGATTTTCATGGGAATAGGAGAATGAAGAGAGCACAAAGGGATCCTGGTGAAGGGAGAAACCATGGAGACTTGGCTTCTTGGCCAGGTTCTCCAATAGTTGGTTGGAGCTGAAGATACAGTTGGGACTCCACCCTTTGTGAGGTCAGGAAACATCTCACTCACTGTTGGGAGCTGCCCATAAGGCTCTGGATCAAAAGGACACAGAGCTGAGAGAGGAAGGAGAAAAATGACATGGGATAAAGAAATAGGCAAACGTTTCCTGGGAACAAGAGTGCATCTTGGAGCGCAAGCATGCAAGTGCCGATCTGATTCAGAGAAACCTCCCTACAATTGGGAAAGAAAGAGCAGAAGCTCATTTTACCAAGACATGGACCCTGTGACTGCACATGAAAAGAAGCAAATGAAATGAGGAAAATGAAAAGGCCCTTGGTGGGAGAGATCACTGGAAAGCAGGGAAGAGAGGGAGTGGATGTTGGGGAAGCTGGCTGGCTCTGGAGAAGGACCAGACCCAGATGACTAAGCCAGAGGACTCACAGAGAATGGCCTGCAGCAGAACAGAGGCGAGCAGGACCAGCGTCAAGATGATGACTGCAGCACGGACTGAGCAAGGCTTCCTTGGAACCAGAGATGAAACCATCTTGGGAGGAGGCTCTGTTGGAAGAAGCAGAGAACATTTGTTGAAACACCAGCATGTGGTGGGTTCAGGCACAGAGAACTGAGAAGGATCTGAGCAGAGACTGGTGCTTGCCTCGGGGCCAGAGGGAGATATTCTGTTTATCTACAGTGAAGTGTGCATCAGGGACCTCACTCTCTGCAGTCTTCATCCTGCACACTCACCCCTGCAACACAGGTACTTCTGGCTGTCTGCCTCCCCAAGAAACTTTTATCCAGAGGAAAAGGGAAATGAGTCCCACAAAAGGTCACCGTATAATTCCCCAAGTTCCACATTCTTGATTTAGACACCATGCCTCTTCTAGGCCACAGGCACACCTGAGCATTCAGGAAGAGGCCACTGGTCTTCTTCTTTGAAGGGTCCGTGACACGAACACTTTAACCATCTTGTCCCAAGGCCATCCTACTCTTTAATTCCCTCATCCCTCATCCATCCTCCCATCCATTCATCCCACAAATACATACTGACTACCTTCTAAGTATCAGGCACTGCCCTGGCACTGGGCCACAAAGGTGAATAAATCAGTCTGTGCATTCAAACACCTCACAGTCTGAAAGGAAAGACAAATCCGAGCAAATAAATTCAAATGCAGGGTGATGATTATAACAATATAAGAATATACATAGTTGAGAGGAAATACAGAGAAAGGAGTAATGATAAAAAGTTCCAAGTAGAGGGACTAGCATATTTAAAAGTACAGGGGCATAAGACAGCACGGAGTGCCTGGCAAACTATAAGTGGTTGGGTGGTAGTGAAGTATGAAGCCTATGACAGGAGTGGGGAGAGAATGGGGCTAAAGAGGCACCTAAGGTCAGATCATGAGGATCCTTTTGGATTGTGTTAACAGGCTTGAACTCTGGCTTATGGGTCATAAGGAGCCAATGAAGGACTTCAGGCAGGAGAGAGACAAGGACAGGACATTGTAGAAAGATCACTCCGATCATGGTGAGAAGCATAGAGTGTGGAAAACCCATAAGCAGGGAGACCAGTAAGGAAACCACTGTGATAATTTCTACTTTGTTATTAAGACATCTTAGATGATATATATATGACCCTTTATAAAATGGGGCTTGGACATGCAAAATGTCAATGTAAGACTTGGGTTCTGCTCCCTGCTTCCTACACCTGTGAGCTTCTCAAACTGGAGGCTCAGCAACATCAGACCAGAAACTGCTCTTTCATACGTAGGAGTTCAGCACAGAGAGGAACTGATTTGGGGCTCAGTGAAGGACTAAGATTTCTCCTGGGCAACTCTGCATGTTTTGAGGTCTGCCAAATCTGAGAAACGTTACATATAACAGATTCTAAACAAATACTTCTTGGAAAGCAGTGAAGAGGTGAAGGAAGAGAGGAAGGGAAAGAGGGAAGGAAAAAGAAAAGAAAGTCAACTCAGATAACTGGATGGATGGATAGATAGATGGAAGACTAATGAATAGATAGATGATGGATGGACAGTCAAAGGGTGGATGGATGGGTGGACAGATGAATATATGAAAGGATGACTAGATGGGTAGATGAATGGGTGGATGGATGGATGTACTTATCCTTTGGTTATGTACCAGTCAGTGGATGGATACATGAAAGATAAATGAATGGAAGAATCGGTGGCTAATATTCCTCAAGTCTGAAACCTATAGTCTGTGGACTTGGATCTGTCTTCTAGAAGCTACTGCTTCTTTCCACTGCCTCCAGAAGTTTTCATTCATTTCCACAGCAAAGGCATGAGGGAAATGTGACTAATGCCTTACCCAAAATGCAAGAAAAATTCTGGCCATGGAATTAGAAAGCTAGCCTTGCCTTGCTGAGGCTGAGCTAGTGGAGCTGGATGACAGAATGGTGTCAGGGACCAGAGCTGAAAGTGAACAGGGCCATGGAAAGAAATGCCTACATTTTCAAAGGATATTTGAGAAGGTCCTACCTCCCTGCTCAGCCCAGCCCTGTTTGGCGAAACCATTGTTCTTCCAAGCCCCTTGCTGCTCTCTCTCTCTGTCTCTCTCTCTCTCTCTCTCTCTCTCTCTTTCTCTCTCTCTCCAGCTATCTAGGCCTCAGGCTGGAGCTGCTTCTCTGACTGGATGAGAGAACTCTACACCACACTTCCCAAGTGCTGGAAAGGAAGCTGGATCACAAGGATGGTATCCCATTCATCCTACCTTATCTCCTCCCTACCTGCATTCAGTCTATAGCTTCCAGGACTGCTATCTGTCCAACCCTTTGACTTTAGGTAATCACACAAACTAAAGGCCTCACGCTAACTCACTGCCTGTCTCTGAACACTTATAACTGTACCCATTTTCTTTAGGCCACTCACCTAGTAGCTGAGCCTTGGTTCCCCCAGTTAGAACGTTCTGCTCCTGGACTCTCATGCTTGGTATTCATTCTAACTCCAGAGTCACCTCAGCCTTCTGCTCCTGGCTGCTGGCCCTATCTTCACAACTTGTCATAGTTCAGGGCCTGGGAATGAAAAAGAATACAAGTTTCTCAAGACCCTGATAGAAGGTGCCTTGGGGTCCAGGTCTCCTCCTGAGGCATTTAAGGGAGAAAAGTAGACATACTGCCCAAACTTGGGAACATAAGGCCCCTTTCCTCTTTATCAAAAAGTTGAGTTTTCCGAAACTTCCGCTGGTTGGTAGCATGAGCCATTGATGGGACATTCACATGCCCTCTCAGTGGTCCCAGGAAAGGATCCAGGAGCTTCAACATACCAGCACCCAATGCATAAAGGGGGCTGGGGTTGGAAAGAATTCATGCAAGTGATGGAAATGAAAGCCTCAAATAGCTATTCTCCTGATCATTGGGCAAAAGGCTGATCCAGCACAAGGAAGTTAAACATGAAGCAACCAGAATCCTGGCTGTGGGCCCTGTGGGATTTCAGAAGCAGTGGGTATAAAAGTCCCATATGAAGTTTCATTTCCTACTCTCAGGGAAAGAGTGAGTCACATGCTAGTTTCCTATGACCATGCTCATTTGCAGGTATTCACTGAGCATAAGCCTGCCTCCCATGCATCCCTCTGAGTGCTGTCTCTCAGGCCCCTGGCTGGACAGCCTGGAAGGAGAAAGGACAGAGCAGGAGACAAGTGCCTAAGCCCTGCTTTCCAGCCAGCAGTGTGAATAGTTCTACTAAACACTCAGGAGATGCCAGGTCTTCTAAACAGAGAAGGAACTTTGGGCCAGACCAGGAGTAACCAGAAATCACTGCTGTATTGAGAGAAAAGGAAGCCCATGCTTCTCTTCACTTTTCTCTTTCCCCACTGGCCATGCTCCTGACGTTCAAAGACCTTCTCTGGATAAGGGTGGAGAAAGGAAATAGTTGGGCCACTTTTACCCCTTCTCCAGTTGGGACCTACCTTCACAGTGGATCATGGGCATATTAAGTAGGAGTGGAAAAGAGGAAAAGCAACTAGAGTGGACAACAAATCCAGGAGAGAGGAAAAGGGAGAGGAGCAGAGGGGAGAGGGAAGAATAACTGAAATGAGAAAGGGGCCATCACAGCTGGTCAGGCTGGTCCACAGGTGTCAGAAAAGACTCGTGCATGTAATGTGATGAGGAATTTGACCAGCAGACCCCAGATAATTAAAAGGTTCTATACCACACTCCGGCTGTTTGCCCTGAGAATACCAGATAGAACAGAGACACCAAGAAGAAAGGAGTGGTCAGTAGGATGATGCATCCACACATTTGTCTAGAATGATGGCCCTTCCCCAGGAGCAAAGAGAAAGGCAGCCATAGACCTTGCCTTCAGAAATAGTGTTTCCCTTGCTGGAAAAAAAATTCTTTTTCTTTTCTAATTCTGGGGAGAAGGGAAGATTCTCCCAAGACTGAAAAGGACCAAGAACAGTATAGGAGGCCACCCAAACTCAATATGGTGAGGAAGTGTGGTAGGCAGAATGATGGCCACCAGGAAGTCCACATCCTAATCCCCAAACCTGAAAGTATATTGAGTTACATAGCAAAGTGGAATGAAGGTTGCTACTCAGATGACTTCAAGATAGGGAAATTACCCTGGATTAACTGAGTGGGCCCAGTGAAACAGTCCTTGATGGGAAGCAGGAGGCAGACGACTCGGTGTCAGTGATGGGATGTGATAAAAACCTCAACTTGCAGATGCTGGCTATGAGCCAAGAAATGTGGGGGTTGAAAAGAGGAGTGGTTCCTCAAAGGAAGGGGATTCTTGCTATCAGAAATGAGCATGGGGCCCTGGCTGGTGTAGCTCAGTGTGTTGGGTGTCATCGCCCTGAGAACCAAAAAGTCACCAGTCTGATTCCCGGTCAGGGCATATGCCTGGGTTTCAAGACAGGTCCCCAGTTGGGGGTGAGCATGAGGCAACCAGTTGATGTATCTCTTGCACACTGATGTTTCTCTCTCTTTCTCCCTCCCTTCCCCTCTCTCTAAAAATAAATAAAATCTTTTTTAAGTATACCTAAGAAAATGAATTGGCATTTAGAATATGCTTCACCTAGATGTTGTGAATACCAGATTTCAAATGTTCCAAATAAGGAAGACTTTTCTGCCACCTGGAGCAAGGTACAGTTTGGGGGTGTACAGTAAAGCTGAGAAAGAAAAAAGCAGAGGGAATGAGACAAAAAGTCAAGTGCACCCTCTCCACCATCTCATACTTCCAAGGCCAAGCTTAACCTGAGGAAGGGGAGAAAAGATATTGTACTGAACCTGTGTATTGCTTTGGATAATATGGCATTTAACTATGTTGACTCCTCCAATCTGTAAACGATGGCTATCTTTTTATTTCTTTGTGTATTTTTTAATTCCCTTCAACAATATCTTGTAATTTTTAGTGTATAGGTCTTTCACATCTTTGTCGAATTTATCTCTAGGTATTTTATAATTTTTATTGCAACAGTGGCTGTTTGGGTCCTCTTGTTCTCCTTTTTAATGGGAATGTTTATTGGGTGATCCCATCCCTGCTCTACACGTTGGAGCTGAGTGTGTGGTGGGTGGGCAAGGGGGGCACAGACCACTTCTT